GACTTGTCTTTTCTATTTGCTCAGATATTGCTCATGTAATAAATCAAACACAGTAGCACTCCACTCACCTCTTTCCATGTTTGGAAATGCTCTCTTAAATACACTTACTTCTATACATACATGAATAACCAATTGGAAGCTCAGAATGTCCCCTATTGGTTTCTATCTGTGTTTTTTAATATTTACTTTTAAATTAACAAATTGAGTAGTGTATAGTTCTAAAATTTGAATTATAATCTACAGTTTGATATCAAACTTACTGACGTAAGTTCATGAAATAGTAGTTCAATAAAATTTTAAATGCAAGTCAACAAAAAAGATGACATGGCCTTTCACCTGTGACCCATCTTGAAAGGGTTAATACACACCCACACCTGAAAAATATTCAAAAGTAATGATTTTCTTAAAGTCATGCTTTTACAAATGTTTTTTTTTAAACATTTTTAACAATATTACTACCTGTTAACCTTTCACATTAAGCTTTGTAAAATGTGGACAAGCTATAATACCAGTCAAATGTCTTTCAAAGCAACTAAAAATAAAAAAATAAGAAAGAAATTGATACATACAGGGTATGTACAGATCTGGAGCATTGATATCATATCGTGGAGCAACAGGTTCCTCCTGATTATAATGTACAGACCAGTCCTATAAATAAACAGTGAAATAAAAACTTTTGTAAATATGTGGGATTTATTAGACAAGTTAACTATGTTTGAATGGAAATAAACAATTTAACAAATTTCAAAACCTTCATAGAAATACAAGAATTTCAGAAAAACTTATTAGAAAATTACCTTTATTCTCCAGATGATTATAAAACAACATTTTATTTTGACTGACATTCCACTCTGCACATTCATCAGTGTTAGGACATACAACTGTTTGATATTAGAATATTCATTAAATTATAAAACTACTTGTAATGTTCTATTTCTTGAATCTATATTATTTTTCAAAATAAAACCTTTCAGAAACATTAACAGAAAAATTTAAATTTACATTAGAATTTTTTTCTTTGTAGGACATTAAATTAGTTGACAATAATAAAAGACTTGAGTTACGGTATTGACTGGACAGAAGGGTATTCCAAAAACATTAAGAAGTTGATGTTTTGGAAGAAATTTGTGTTTCAATTTACAGATGAGTTATTAAAGGAACAGAATGCCTAACCTATGCTACAACGTTCTAGAATTGTCAATTGTTTAAAAAAAGAAATATTACTATTATAAGTGACAATTTTCTTGAAATACAGTGACTAATTATTCGGTGATAAAAAAAAACCAAAAGTATTGCTTCTAAATTATTTGTCTATAAAAAAACAAACTTCCATATTTTTTCAAAATAATAATAATAAACAACAAATTGACTGATTTTCTGTTCAGGTCTATACATATGCCAATTATTCTAATACATTTTTGAGCTTTTTATGGCTTATACATCTTATATTTAAACATCTAAGTTGATGCTTGTGCTTTAGTTTAAGATATATATATATGTATATAATAAGACAAATAATCACTTGTCCTGAAAAAACAACAAAAAAAAACAACTTACTGAATGAGTGAATGGGAAGAAAATTAATCCTAACTTCTTGGCCACATAAGCTGTATCCACAGCAAAATAGTACTTAAGTTTTGACACAGACACAAACTTTTCTAACTAAAACAAGAAAATAATCAACTGTTTTACTACACATATCTCTTATCATAACACATTTCATTAGTGAAGAAAAACGATATATGATCTAATTAGCAACAATAAATATTTATAATATGAAAAACACATACACATCATTAACTACAACGGTGAAAGTTATTTTTAAATATGTCAACATTACTGAATTTTTAGTATCTATAATACATTCACCTTTGTAAGGCACTTCTATACTACAGAAAATTCCAACACCTATCCTAGTTACTTATTTTATTTATATATTTTTATCCTTACCTTCTCATTTACAATGACCTTGCCTTGGCCAGCAAGAGTCTGACCATACTGCATTGCCATGGCAGCCATTGGATCACCTAAGATCTGTTGGCCAGGAAAACTTGGTTGTCCAAAGGTTTGATTGTTCCATCCTGTAGCTTTCAGAAGAATCAAGAGTTCAATCTAAATAATATCTTTCCTCTCATTTAAGCACTATTTGAAAAAGCAAGGCGGCCACAAGTACTTGAAAAGCAAACAAACTTCGGTCTCAATTTTTTTCTTTTATATGCTTGATACTTATAATATTAGAACTAAAATAACTAACGGTTTTATTACATAACCTGATAGTAACAAACTAGATTATACAAACTGTCCATGATGGTTGACCTAGGGGTTAAGTTACCTCATTACATGAAACTATTATTTTCCTTACCTGGCCCTGGGGGTTGACCCTGGAACTGTAGGTTGGGGTATATGTTTGTGGTGTCATCAAAAAACTGAGGACCCTGGCCATAGCCATACTGTGGTGGAAGAGGTTGTTTTTGTTGTCTTGACCGCCGTCCACCTTGAAGACGAACTACATAGATAGTTACACATTTAACTTTTAATTTTATTTCAGTAAAAGAAAATTGTACAAAATTATAAAATTGATTAATAATCCACAAAATATCATTAGCTATTTCATTTGTACAAAACAAAAGCCACATAATGAGCTTCACACAGGAATTCAAGATTTAATTAAAAGAATACAGTTGTTTTTTGTTTTTTTCAGTACAATAGGTTTCTATAAGTTTAACCAGCTATGTTCTAGCAGGTTACACATGAAATGGAATTTATCTGGAGATACAGATGATATGATTACATTTGTGAACACCACAAGAAATTCAAAACTAAAGATCTTTTAGAAGTAATGAAAAAACAAAATAATCTTGAGAGGTCTGAAGCTAAACTAGAATAGATATAGAACTCAAAACAAGATGAGGAAATAAATGAAATGTTTTTGTTTGAGCATACAAGATTAAGAAGTATTAATTTAAAAAGTGCATTATGGTGTTTTAAAATTTTATACAGAACACAAAATAAGCTTGACAATAACAGATACAGTAAAGGTATATATACCTTGGAAAAAAATTACACATGGAAATACATATTTCTCAAAAATAATTTACAGTATCTTGGAAACAAGTCTTTGGATAAATGTTTACACTTGCAGAAACTCTACTCTTTATTGCAGCACATTCAGTTTGTTTATTGTTAAGCCCAAAGCTACACAATAGGCTATCTGTGCTGTGCCCACCATGAGTATCAAAACCCATTTTTTAGTGGTTTCAGCTTTCAGTTTTACCACTGAACCACTAGGAGGCAGCATGTATAGTAAATAATTTGTCCTTTATTTTCTCTTCAGCAGTATGTTCAAATTACTCTGTTACTCAAACCTACACAAAGAAATTGTTTCATTTAAATAAAATGGGCTGGATGTTTTTAAAGTCTGAATGACCTTGAAGGACTGAAATATTTTTCTGTGAAGTTGTGTTGTGCATTTATGAACTAGAAACCAATGATTATCTTTGAAGAAGTATTTCAAAAAATAAGTAAATAAATAAATCTGCATAAACAATCCATCCAAGTTGTTACTAATTGGTTGATATTTATATTTCTCGGCCTAATAATAATACTTAGAGGAATACTTGTAAACACACAAGAATAATTTGTACATCCATCGATGCTTTAACATAGATATGACTATACTGTTAATCCCATATATTTTCATTCATATGTTCATGTGCACTATAGTTAGCATTGTGTATTATCATTAAACACTATCACATTTTAGTACAATGTTTTCCTACATTAAAATGTTCATCTATTCCTAATCATATTTGATGGATATTATACTATTTTGATCTACTGCATGGAATGAAAGAATGGGTAGATGAAGAAAAACTACACAATACAGCACAAGTGTAATTATGCTATCTATAATACATGCAACAACACAGACTTTCTAAGCTGTTTTCAAGAGTTAACTGGTAAAACAAAATAAGGTTTAGCATGTGTAAAGCATTCATTTTAAGACCAACCTAGAAAGGCACTCAGAGAGTGCAAATCTTGCCCCATGATGTTTATGGCTTTTACAGTAACCAATCTAAATTATACACTAAATGATACCTCATCCTCAAATATGTAGGCTTAGGGTTGCAGATCTTCCTTTCATCTCATTGGTATTGAGATTGGCCATTTTTAAATATCTCGATTTGCATTACATAGGTGATATTTTGTTTGTCTGGCCAAACCACAGAACTAATTTTCAAAACTTTTTCAAAAAACTTAATCTTCTTAATAACACCATAAAGTTGAAAAGGAAATGAGCAACTTGCTTTTTTTTTGGATATTCTTATAACAAGAATTGATACATGACTTGTTCTGTCTACCAAAAATTAACAATTCCTCTCAGTTACTTATTTTTATTTTCTCGTGACACCATAAAAATATCTACAGTATTCTCTATGTTTCTATGAAGCTACAGAATATGCCATCTTTCAACAATAATTCAAAAACTTTTAAATGTCAATTCTATTTTGAATAATTTACAATATTCCATTCAATTCATTGAAAATGCTAATCTAAAAAATATGAAAAACCTGATCTTTTTAAAAACATAAACAATTCTCTAAATGAAGCCTAACCAAACAAACAATAAACTCCTTTGATTTATATACAATATTCTTGAAGCTAAAACCCAAATCATATTTGCTTTCCTATTGGCAATACACTGTCTGGTAGGCTTAAGGAACTGATCAACCAAAACACAGAGATTCTTTCTTTCTTTCCATAACACTACTGACTTGTTTTTACACCAAGGTGGTAAATACAGTTTAAATTCATGTAACCCACATAAATTACCTTGCACTTAGCATATTTAAATGCTACCTTCTATTTATTTGCCCAATTTGCTAAATGATCCAATTCCCTTTGGAAAACAATAGCAGCATCCCCATAGCCAATTGCACCCAACACTTTAATATCATCAGCAAACTTGACAAATCTGTTGACTACTCCCTTATCAATATTGTTAATGTATATCAGAAAGTGCCCTGAGGTACTCTGCTAGAACCTCAGCTTGACTGAACTCCATTTATTACAAAACCTAGCTTCTTCTCCTCTGAACAACTTGGAAATAATTTCCTTTTCTATTTTTATGTGGAACTTTGTTAAAAGCCTTAGGATCAAACAAACAAATAAACAAAAACCATGGCAGTTATTTTGGTTTCAAATTATTTGACACCAAACAAAGGTTTGAGGTCAAATATAACCAGGGTTGTTCAGAAGATTATTTACTCTTCACCTCGCTTGAGATTTTGTGGGTGACCTAATGTTGAAAGCATAACCAGTAACTAAAAAAAAATTATATACACACACATATATAAATATATATATGTACACATACATACATATGCATGCACACACTTGTGTATATTCTAACAATTGAGGTCAGCAAGCAAGATGCAGAAATATCCAGGATGATTAATTGTTAGAGCCTTTCTCTTCTGTAGGTAAGCTGTTTATGGCAATGAGAGTAGCTACCTTAGGATCATTATGGATGCACCAATATATTTGTATTAGCTGTATCAGATATTTTGCCGAAATATCAGAATCAGTTGATATTTAAAAAATATTAGCTAATATTGAACTGATTTCTCTTCATCATATCCTCATGATTTGCGAGTTCAGTGGCGTATGGGGAAAGAAAGCTTTACTAATTCAACAAATTTTATTTTTTGCTGAAACAAATGATTTTTAAACTTTTCATAAAATATATTTTAGTGCAAAGAGACAAAAAAGAAAAATTTTCTTGAAAGTGCAATCCAGAACTTATTTTTTCAATAAAATACAACTAACTATTCTTATGCCGAAGTTGAAAGAATTTACTTTTGATAGCTGAAGTGAAGTTGTTTGAGGTTATCATGGAGGAACAAGAACTGCTCAGTACGTATTGGTGTGAGCCTGCTCCTGTTTGCTCCAGTGATGTCTCACCCTGAACTAAAGAGATGCTCACTTAGTACCGAGCTTGATGGTGGGTTCAGTTATTTATGGGCAATTTTTACCACTGACAAAAGAATGTTCTTGTTTGCATTCCATCACACCAGGGAATCTTTGTCCTTCTTTAGTCTTGCAAAACTGAAATAGGTACCAATCTTAGATCACAGTGAGTTTAGAGTTGCTGGAATCAGCTGACATAGTTTTTTAAGTATAAGTATTGGTTATTGAACAAGAATCCATAATCAACATAAGCATTGATGTCTGAAGACGGTCAAAAGATATGTAAGAAAATTTTCCTGTATGTGAAACAATGCTGGTTGTTAAAGAAAATTATAAAGTTTATTAGGTGGTCTTGCAAATCTTCTTTAATCATTCACTCCAGAACTTTTACCACTACAAAAGACTAATTTGTCAATATTCAGTATTTACTTGGACAACACTTGTCACCTCTATATAAATTAAAATTAGGTGTAATATTAGCCAGCTTCAAGTCTTCTGGCACTTCAAAAACTAACAAACACTTTTAGTAAAGGGCTTACTTATACAATCCTTAACCTGTTTTAATACCCTTGAGAAACAATATTTTGCATGAGAGCCTTATCTTTTTTTAAACTTCTCAGTTTTTATGTAGCAGTTTCATGACTATTATTATTACAATGTAAATCTGTTATATTTCCCACTAATAACTTCTCAGAATCTGGAATATTGTTTACATCTTCTTTGATGAAAACTGAATAAAAAAGAAAAATTTGGCAATTCAATCATTCCATAATCTTCTAAAAACTATTCCATCGGCATTCTTCAAAGATCCAATTCCATTTTTTATTTGGTTTTCCATAATAAAAAAAATCCTGTAATTCATTTAAAAACATGCAATATGCTAACCGAGTTAAATAACCTGAGAAATACAATTACGTTTGGATTTAAGTTTTTCATTAAATCAGTAATAAATATTTTAGTATTGCAGGCACTGATATTAGTGCCTGTGATAAATTCTCTCATGTAATTAACTTTCTTACACACACACACACACACACACACACACACACACACATATATATATATATATATATTTTTTCTATAAAGATATAACAATTGCTTACAATTTTTGGTTGGCACTGATCCAGGATTATCCATGACAGTATCAATGAGGTCTTATGATATACTGGAAGTGGAACAAAAGGATATGCATAAAATGAAGCTTTTCTGTGTGTTAAAATTTCAAAACAAATACTTTAAACTACATTTATAATTCAAAGAACTTTATGAACTCCTGGAATGTTTAAGGGCTATTAGTTTTGAATTATTTTAAAGTTGTACTGGATAACTACATGGACATGAAAGGCTACACCTAATTCATTCTAATGTTTTGAGTAATTATAAGCCTTTTGTAACACTGCTCTTTATTATGTTCTGAAATGAAAATGCATTTTACAGAAACTCTCTTTAACGGAGCTTGTAATAACACTTGGATGTGTTTACTACTGTTTAATCTCTTTATGAAGGACTCTGGTAAAAACCAGAATAGTATTAATACTAATAATAATTACTACTTCAATACTATTAATACAGCAATCCTACCCAGATTAAGAGGGGGGGGGGATATAAAAACATTGCATTAATGGTTTTTATTTTATATTTACAGTTTTAAAGACAATCCAACAACAAGTTACAAACAGCTCATCTGGTGTGATAACTTAATGGTTAATCTCAGTACCAAATACAATTATGTTATACTACCACTGGTAGTACCAGCTTTTCTTTCATTATCTTCAACTTTCTTGTTATACATTAACATATTTCTACATTCTTAAAACTGTTTGAGCCAGATATTATTTTTCACTTCCCAATTGTTTTTGACTTACCCTTGCAGTAATATCAATAAATGCATAATAAAATTTAAAATAATACAAAATGATAGTGCCTTACTGCAAATGTTATAACTGTGAACTGCTGGATGTCTGCCCTCCGGAAACTTGTAAGTCACAGAAAGAAAGACTTAAAAATCAAATTGAAAAGAAGTTACAAATACAATTTACAAATGTCTTCGTTCACATAATTAATTAATACTCAAAGATGCAGTAAATTACCAAAAATCATACTCGTGGTATGCAGTGAAAGAAATTATTCATAATCTAGACTAGTTATCACTAATAGTAATACTAATATTATATATATACTAAATAATAGTAACTAGTTACGTTCGTACTGTGTAGGTTGTACAATCACTCATCGGTAATATTATTTTAGCACTAGTAAACCAGCTCGTATTTACTTTATTTTCATGCCTAATTCAAGTATTTTACAGCTGTTGTTCTTTTCTGACTACGAAAAATTATAAAGCTTATAGATACAAAAAATTAACACTTCAGTTTCATAGATTATAACTGCATTTAACCCCGTTTTCACAAAATGATAAAATACCATATACAGACATTATAACTTACATTACACGTCACTTAACATAATAACTTTAACGCCACCTTTACTTCAGGTTTATTAAATTACATGTTTAAAACAAATACTAGTAATTATTGAAAATAAATTATTGGAAATTATTATAAATTCCTCGTAAGAATTCATCTAAATATCTATTAAATTTATATAAATTCAATAAAAATAGTATCAGTAAAATTTTTCCACACCTTTCTTTATGCTATTTGACAAAGAGCTCAGCAGAAGAGAAAATATGTATATGTACAAAAATAGCCACGTAGTGATCAATATACTGTCCCGCTAGGAGTTTCCAAATACTCCATCTAGCCCTGATGATCTACCTAACAATTCAATATACATATCTGTACGACAGTACCCCAATGGCATAGCTTTGTGCATAATTCTAAACAAACAAACAAACTGTACGATAGATAGGTAAGATAGTAGTGTCATACGTATGCAAGGTTTTTAAACACTCCACGTTAAGCAAATTCAAGCATGGAAAAATTACAAGCTGCTTTAATTGTGGAAAATCGATACCTAAAATAGTTGAACTAATCAGTCGTAAGTTTTTTCTATGCATGATACCATTCAACATATCATACAACGTATAAAAGGCATTCAGGCGTTGACTGAAAATGACGTCAGAGTGTAATAATGCTCACCTGACAACTGTGAAAACAGTGCTGGAAATTACATTTTTAACAATGTTGGATGACTTTTTACTGTGTCTAATATGGTCATATGTGAACGGTCAGTAGCATGTTCGGTAACGTTTTGCTTGATTTAAAGTTTATATACTCTGGAATATTTGGTTATTTGCTGTAAATCTTTAGAGTGATAACTCCTTCACCAAATAATGATCGAACGGCAGGAAGATATGTAATTCGATCGTGATTGTACTGTAACCATTATAACTGATTATGTTATGAATTTTTTAACTTGAATTTCATTTTATGCATTGGGCATAGGATCTGTCTATGAAGTGCATATTAATAAATTCCAAAGGCCATAGTAACGTTTTGATCAGCAAACCTGTGAGTGCGTGATTTTGTAGTGCTGCTGATATCAACATCTTAGAGTAACTTGTCCAATGTTCAGATATCAACTTATATAACATCTTTCTTGGTACCTTCATTAATTAATTTCAAAGATTATACAACACATTGCAGCCCTCATTACCTAGAGACAAATTACAGCGGACATAAAGAAGGAAGGAAAACTACCTGGAGGGGGTGGAGAAAATGCATACGAGGCCTGTACATGGGAATTCTATGGGAATCAGTGGGTATGACATCTAGGACTGTGGCACTTATAGACCCCAAATGGAGCAACTCCTAAAATATACATGACATAAAATGCGGACGTGTGAATGACAACGTTGAAATTATAAACAAACTCCCCTGCCTCTGATTCCTCCAACTATGCCAAGCACCTGTCAAATCCCACCCGAGAACATTCCTTGCAGAATAGCAGTAGAGTATTCAGGCCAAGAGTGGTATAATGCCGTCTAAGGAAAATTATCATTAAAACCTCTTTCTGGGTTTATGTCTCTAAATATTTCTAGTAAGGTATTGTATGCGAAAATACATATAACTCATTAAATTATCCTCCAGTGGTTCAGCGGTAAGTCCAAGGGTTTGTAACGCTAAAAATTGGGTTTTGATACCCATGGTGGTCACAGCACAGATAGTCCATTGTTTAGCTTATTGTTCAATAACAAACAAACAAACAAAGTCATCAAAATTTTAAATGATATTTAGAATTTTAGTGCTGAAGAATGACAAACTCTTTTTAGCGCCATCTGTTGAGTATTTTAGAGTTAAAATATAGCAAAGCAAGCAAAATATGCACAATACCATTACCATACTTGCAATGCGATTTAGTCTATGATAAGCAGTAGTTGTATTTTATTAATAGGTATGGTTTAAGTATTCTTCTATAAGTTCAAAGAATATAATATCTTATTACTAAGAGATCCACAAACATAATTACAACCTTGGTAGAATATATTTAACATAAATGAAATTTATGCTTGTAAAGTTTATAAAATGTTTGCAAAATTTCAACTTTAAAGTTAGATAATCTTTATGTATATTTATAGAACAAAAATGGCTATCAGCTTTGAAACAATATTTAATTCTAGAATGGCATAATAAACAAACTTGACTTTTGTGTTATCGAACTCGCTAAAATATTCTGTACGTTTAGTTTCTCCAAGAAGAAAGACAAAACATATTACTAAGGTTTTAAGTAGTTTTATTCATATCACTTTATTTATTTATATTTGGAAATAGCAATTACACGATATATTTTTTGGGATTTTTTTGGCCCTTAAATGTTTTTAAACACAAGAAAAACAACAACTGTACAATACAAATTGACAATTATTATAACGTTGATGAATTTCACAAAGTTTGGCTATTAATGATTGTTCAAGAGATAATTAGAAGGTAAAAAAATGAAAGAAAAACATCATGACTGCTAATAACTTTAGTTATAAATTCCAAACAATATTCTTATCATTATTTCTAACACTCCATTTTGATAGAATACAAAATATTTTCCAATAACAGTATTGTTTTTATAATTAAATCATTATTTGGCAAAGTCTGTGTGTATGTGTGTCCTCTTATGACTGGCGAACCCAGGTACCCCTGGGAGTGACATAGGAGCGTCGGTGTTTTAATTTAATTCCCATATGTCGACCCTGGAGTTCCTATGTATTCCCTGTTCAATTGTATTAATCTCTATTAAACTTTGAAGGCATTCCCAGGAAGTGATATAGAGTGTTCAGCACTTGGTTCGGACCCATTAAGTCACTCCCCGGGAGTCTGTCTGCTTTTCTCGCCTACAGTTTTTCATCTATGTCAACCAGATTTGGCACGAACCTAAGGATTACTCATAAAGAGACATAGGATTGTCACTCTCCAGGGTCCACTATGTTTCCCTCGTACATTGAACGGGTACTGTACGTCAGCTAGTGTATGTATGTTACTTTTAAACCTGATTAACTGAAATTAGAGATAATATTTAACTAAAGAACAGTTTTGAAAACACATTTTCTAAACTATTTTTGCTCCAAATTGCTTGCTAGTCTATTAATTTGTTGGTTACATGGTCCCTATAATTATGTTGAAACGTGATTTTACACTCACTACTATTAAGGCTTGGTCTGGTGTGATACTTCATTGGTGGTAGTGTCCAGGGTCACTGATGAGGAGTGGAATTCTCCGAAACTAGTCTGGCTCACAGACACACACCCAATGGAAGAATAGACCATTCCAAGCTTTTACTTGTTGTTGAAGAAATGTTTAAACAACTTTATTCAACAATGTTGAAACGTGTTCTATCACTTCTATGCGGGTTATTTTAAATTATTCGGTGAAAGTAATGTAAAGCTCAGTCCAAGTAACGATAACAAATTAGTTTATTTCTTCCTTAACGTTTGCTACAGACTACTATCACTTGGACGTAGTTGTAGGCCTAAGTTCACAAATAACATTTCTACTTTCAAGAGATATTTACTTACTAACAGTACTACGACAAACATACTGTTACGTCTCTGGTCGTTGGTTAATTTTCCGTAAAAAAATTTTTCGAAGAAACTTTAGCTATACAAGTCCTGTCTTAAATAAAACTAGTTTATTCTTTCTCAATACAACTTTGAAATTCACTTAATTTCCACAGTCACGCTATAACAAACGCTATAATTCAAAACGAACAACTCATGTGCTCGACTCAATTGTCAGTCTCTCTCTGTCTGCAGTTCAATTACATTGTTGTCGTCAGTTCTTGGCGGTCTTATATACAAGAATACCGAAAATTTAGTAAACACTCGAGGCTTCACGAACCCTCGAGAATATGACGTGTTACTAGCGTCACGTGACTCCCGCTGTCGTAACAATACAAATGAACTTATTTGTACCAGTCAACGGCTGTTCGATTGAGTAACTAAATATAAGTGATAACCAACACTGATCTGAATATTTCACTAACTTCTCACTCGCTGCACAACTGAAAAATGACTCAATGCTTTACTTCTTCTCGTATATATAATGTACTCTTGTTTCTAGATATTTCGTAAAGGTTTCTCGATTATTAACATTCACAAACATTCTAACTATTCTAGGATTACTTTTATAAGTTTTCTAAATACAGTATCATCACAATGTTGGCACTACCTCTAGCAAACAGCTAAATTGAAACACTGAAAATTTAGTTTACAATAGCACTGTGTAATAACTAATGTAAAATGTTTTAGTTAAAAACCACTGCCCCCTTCCTTGATTGTGAAATCCCTTGAACAATCCTAACATACAAATAAAACAGTACACTAATTTGTCTACTCACCAAGTCTTTTTTTTATGGTTTTCTTTTCTGAGACTCATGAAATTCAGATGGGTAGCTCTCCTATCCCTTTTGTCACTGACTGTCCTGTCATTGGGGGAGTTTTTCATAGACAGATGGACTACAGGAACTCTGGGATCTTATGCAAACAAATTGTTTTCTGGAGTTATCCAGTTGGTCAATCCCTTCCTGACATAATTCCAAAAGTGACCAAACTGGATGACTTTTGGCTAGGACATTCTGTTTTTCTGGATATTCTAAACCACATCATCGATTCTTTTCAGTACAGGGTGTGAGCCTATTTAACTTCGGAGTTCATCCTTTCTTGTGATAAGCATTATCCAGCCATACCGCGTCACCTTGATAAAATCTAGTCTTATAAACATTAACATCATAGCGACTTTTCATTCTATCATAAACTGATTTAAACATTACCCAGGTAAAGTCACGTATGACGTCTTTATTCTTTAGATCCATGAAAATTATTTCAACCATCAAGCCCTCGGGATATACTGGAGCATTTGGTTCCACTACACCCCTATATGTAGATTTATTGCTAGTTACTCCTGCTATCAGTATTTTACTTCTTGGTGATACTATGACCATCATCTCTGGAAATTCAACCTTTAGTGTAATAATTGTCATGTAGTGC